AACCCTCCTCGACAACGCAGTCGCAGCCGACGAGTGTCACTCTGTCGAGGCTATGTCGAAACTGAATCGAAGTCAGTGAGTCCGGTCGAGGCGAAGTCGATGAGACGCCTGAATTACCAGGATTCCACTGAGGGTTCCTGTTCCTTTTATACTGTTCGGCCGGACGCATTCTTGGGCTTATTTTGAATTTAATCTTACCCACTTTGTCTAGGGAGGGGGCAGCTGTCCGCGTGCAACGTAGCTTTGCTGACTTATTTGTTAGTTTAACAAGCGATATGCTTGTTTACGCTTTTTCGCAATTACAATTATCTGTAAAATGCAGATAATGATTTATTATTTGCACTTTAATTTCTGTAGAAAATACGATTTTTTAATTTTATCCATAAATTTTTAGAACGGCTTTACAAAAGTCAAAATGGATCAATGCAGCGGAACAGTAATGAAAGAGTTCCAGCTGGTTTAGCTTATAAGAAATATGAGACTCAATCAATACTGGCAAAAGTATGGGAAAAGTCCGGCCACTGAAAACAACAGGTAATGAGGAAGCAACAATCAATGTGAAAAACGAGCGGCTGTCTAAGTCTAAACGGTACCAACACTGAATCGCTGGAAAGGTTTAATAAATGCCGCTAGCAAGTAAAAAAAGAGGCTCAATTACTGATGGCTACACGCAAAAAAAGGCAGAAAACTCATAGATAAAGTTTTTTTTCCGCAAAAATATTTTGCACATTTCGGGAATGTACGAGAAGTGGAGAGAGCCGAGATGAAATCACATGGGAACTATTCAATTTCAAAAAAATCATGAGAAAAACGTGAACCTTTTGTAAATAGCCAGATGTTCGGCCTTTCGATGAGCCACCAACTCGTCCCGTGTGAACAATTTGCCGTCATTACAAATGAAGCATGATTTAGCCACATTACACGAATAAAGAATATGCCGCACCATTTGTTCCTCACAGCGTTTCACCGAAATTTCCACGGTGCATTCACAGGACGAAAATGAGCGGCATAAATTGCACAATACTTTAATAAACTGAAAAAGCAGAAATTTGTCATCGCAGTTTTGTGTCCTTTCCTTTCGATTTAGCTGTACAAAACTACCAGCATCAAAATTCAAATATACACGAGCGAGAAGGGTATGTAAGGATTGCTTTCATGCGCACTGACTCGCAGGTTTCCACTGAGCAAATTCACAAAATTCCAGCTCAGTCTGGCCGATCTGGATGTGGAGCTATAAAGTTGTCACCGTTAACTTTTCATGTATTCGTATAAAAGGCTTAAACGTGTGTGAATTCTAATCTTAGGGTCACTAACGCACATATAGCTAGCAACCATCCTCTTACGATCACTGCTTTCCACCAGCTTTGGTCCCCGAGTTAGCATGGTGACAACAGCAGCGTGTTCAAACGTAAGACATAGGTAAATAAGGACTGAAATCAAGTTCGTTGGGTCCTCTACAGATAGTGAGTGCCGCGTAAAATTCCAGCTTTCTAGTTTGTTCAGTTCCCAAACTTATTTTCCAGTCAAAGTATTTCATTTTTTAGTATATAAAAGCGAAAAGAAACTTAACGTTCTTCTCAGACTTGGGAATCATGCTTAAAACATACAAATAATTGGCCAACGCACGGGCTGCTCGTGCGAAGATGCGTTTTTTGCATGGTTCCCCGCAGTTTCTGTT